TCGCGCCACCCCAGCCGGGGCCGCCGTTCCCCCCATGAGGGGCCCACGTGTGCGTGGAGGGGGAGGGGGCGCGCGAAGTTGGAGGCGCCAGCCGTGGGGGGAGGGGGTGCTCGGCCGTCCCGGCTCGGCCTCCCGCGCCCCCCGCCCCCCAACTCCGTCCCGATCTTTTCGCCGCATCGATTCGGATTATTGAGCCGCCGCCGCCGCCGCCCGGAGGAGCCGGGAGGCCGGGCGTTCCGGGGTCTGGCGGGCACTGCGGCGCTGCGGACGCCCTCGCCAGCCCGGCACCTGCCCCTGCCGCTGCCCCCCGCCCTGGCCTCTCACCCTGGCCGCGCTCCCCGGCCGCCCGGCCGAGCCTTCTGCAATGACCGAGGGGGCGTGTGGGGAGGGGGCAGCCGCCCCTGCCCAGGCCGCGCCCTCCCGGGGACCCCCTTCCTTCCCACAGCTCCCACCAGGACCCCTTCCCAGCTCTGCTGGGTCTGCTTTCCAGCTCCGCCTTCCACCCCCTGTCCTGCTGTGTCTTTAGGCCAATGAGGCTGCAGCCTCAGTTTCCCCCAGGGGCCATGGGGCTAAGGCAGCTTCTGGAGAGAGGCGCGGTGTAGCCTCCAGACTGTAAAGCGCGGTGCACGCGGAAGGAGGGAGCCGGAGTGTCCTGAGCAGCACCGTATGGGGAGCACGTGGGTGCCCAGCTTGAGCCCCAGGGACCACCAGTCTCTGCCGGGGGTCCCCCCATGCATGGTCCTGGGGTCCCGCTGGTTCCTGGTAGGATCCTGCTGGCTCCCTCCAGCTGCCACTGGCTGGGGAGTTCTGGCTCCTGCAGGGCTGCTGCAGAGGGGGTCTTGGCTTGTCCTACCCATGATCCCCTGGGTGACCTTGGCCAAGTCCTTGCCCCGCTCCAGCCCTCGGAGTCCCCTTCTGAGCCACTTTGGGGGTCCCCCGAAGCAGTCGGCCACCCTCTGCCTCCCCAGTCGACCTGAAGCTCCCCGAGAACAAGTGGCTTCTAGTCAGGGTTTTTATGTGACCTTGGGCCTCCCAGCCTCCTCGGGGCTTAGGGGTGCCCCCGCCCCCTCCACCCTTCCCGCGCTCCCAGAGCCGCACAGGGGGGCCGAGCCCAGCGCGGGCGGCTATTCCAGGCGCGGGGGTTGGAAGGCCGCCTTCTGTCACTGCGCCCTGGAATTCCCCCGCCAGGACTCCTGGGGAGACAGGCCTCCGTCCACGGTGCCCAGAGCGGGTGGCGGGGAGAACCGGGCCTGGCGTCGCCCGGGAGCTGGTGTGTTCCCCGGGCCTGGCTGTCCCCGAGCAGAGCAAGGATCAGCCGGCCGGGCTCCCCGTGGAAACTAACAATCGAAAATACCACGTTGCAAGAGACAGGGAGACGGGGAGATAGAGACGGGCAGAGAGACCTAGGGGCTCCAGGCCAGGGGGGCTCCCCTTCTCTGTTTACTCTCCCACGTGACCCCCCACCCTGGAGGGGACCCCCTCTCGGGCTCCCCTGCAGCCTCAGTGTGGTCCCTGCAGCTCCTTGCAGGTCTGGGGTGTCCCCCTGGGGGACCCGGAGGGACTGGACTGTCCAGGCAGGACCCCCACTCCTGGCTGTCTGGCTCAGTCTCCCGATCAGGGCCCCACCCCATTTCTCTCTGGCTGTCTTCATCTCTCCCCTCCCTGTCTCTCTGTCTCTGTGTGTGTCTCTCCCCATCTGTCTCTCCCATCTCTTTCCGTCTCTCTGTCTCTGTGTGTCTCTCCCCATGTCTCTGGGCCTCCGTCTCCCCCCTTTCCCCACCAGTTCTACAACCTGGGCCCATCCTAAAATAGCTCCCTTTTAGCTGATCCGACCCGGATCCTTCTCCGAGCCCAGGCCGGCGGGGGAGGGGACGGAGGCCGCTCCGGTGCCAGCCCGCCCCGTGCCCCCCGGCCCTGCCCACCGAGGTGGGGGGGTGGCGGCAGGGCCCGGGCGGCCCTGGAGGATTCTGGGAGCCCCGTCCCTGTTTCGCTGGTGACTCAAGCCCTTTTCACTCTTACTCTTAAGAGGAACTGTGTGAAGCAGCCGTTACTTCCATAAATCCTGCCGGCGGGAAGGCCTCCCTCCCTCCCTGCCTCCCCGCCCGCCACCGCCACGTTAGTTATTCCGGGTTTGGGGCCAAATCTCTCTTGGCTGCGGTGCCCGGATTCCCCGGGGCCGCAGGCTGGGCCTGGCCCAGGCCGCCTCCCTCATTCATTCATTCTGCCCTTCATTTCTTCACTCCTTCCCTCTCTGGGCCGCACTCTACTGCTGGTTCTCCAGGGGGGAGACTGAGGCTGGGAGAGGACCCTGACTTCGCTAACACCTCCTATGGGGCCAGACGAGGGGGGACAGAAGGCAGCGAGGTGTCGGCCTGCTGGGTGCTCTGGGGGGCTCTGCTGGGGTCGGGGGTGGGAGAGGGGCCGAGACCAGAGAGGGCCAGGGCGTGCCCAGGGCGGCACAGCGTGGCTAGTGGGGCTGGGCGTGGGGACACTTCCCCGTGGCTGTTTGGCCAGGCCTGGGCAGGTGGGTGGCCCCCGTGTGCCCCCCACCTGTGGTCTCATGGCCTTGGATTCGCTCCTGTGAAAGGCCCAGCCTCGCTCCGTGTCTCTCCCCGCTCTGTGTCTCTCTGTCTCTGAGTCTCGGCCCCCTCCCTTCTCTGCGGCGGAGGTGCCTCAGCGAGCCAGGGCCGGGCGCCTTGTAAATCACGAAGAAGCTAGGATTCTGGCCGAGTCAGCGTTCTCCCTCTCTCCCTCTCTCTCTTCCTCTCTCTCTCCCTCTCATCTCTCTCTCTGTCTCTCTCTCCGTCTCTCTCTGTCTGAGCCGCCCTCCCTCCCTGTCTCCCACCAGTGGATGGGAGGCACCGCCCTGTCCGAGGCCCCTGCCCCACGCAGGCCTCACACACGCATGCACGTGTTCACACGGACCCGCACACACATGTGAGGCCTCCTCGCCTGGGTGCGTGTCTGCCCAAGGTGTGCAGTGCAGGGGCTCCCCGGGGAACCACGCACACCCACACGCGTGCGCACAGACCTACACGCTCCCCGACAGCGCACCTATGAGGACACAGCGCCGCCTGCCCCGGAGGCGCCCTGATGGGGTCCCCGAGGCGGAGGCTCAGGGCGGCCCCAGCTCTGCAGGCGCGTCCCCTCCTCTTCCAGCTGTGTGACTCTGGGTGGGGGACCTGGGCCTTCGTGTGCCCCGTCCTCGCCGGGAAATGAAGTTCGCGGGAATCCTCAACTCCTGGGGCCGCCTGAGGGTTCAGGGAGGCGGGGCCTGGCACACAGTGGGTGCTCGTAAATGCTTGTTGCATGAATGGATGGATGAATGAAGGAATGAATGAATGAGTGAACGAATGGTTCTGCCAGTTGAGAGAAGGGTCTTGAGTTCTCCAAGCCTCAGTCTTTCCCAGCATAAAATGGGAAACATAATCTCGCCTTCCTCGGATGCGTGTCCTTAGCACAGTATACAGTAGGCGCCAAATGAGTACAGCTGTGATTGTGGTGGTTGCCAAACATAATTGAATGAAACAGGCATTTTCTAGCTGACCCTTCGTTCTGTCACCATTTGCTATTTGGCCCTGGGCCAGGTGACAGGGACAGAGGTGACCCCACAAAACGTGGAGCCCTGGCCCCCAAGGGCTTTCCTGGCGGCCCTGCCTCCCGGCCCAGCCCCGTGCAGGGTCTCCCTGAGTTTGGCCAGACCTGAGCGGGTACCAGCATCCTTTGTTGATGGGGACGCGGGGACGGGGCGGAGGATGGGAACGCTCTGCTACTGGTCTGGATGCTGGGACAGAACAGAACAGATCAGATGCCTGTCCCTGAGGGGTGACATCCTAGGGGAGGGGGTGGGTGGGAGGGGAGGTGACAGGGCAGGACGGGGCCGCGGCTTTGGCTAGAACAAGCCCCCGAGGAGGAGGTGGCATGTGGCCCGGGACTGAGCAGGGGAGGGGAGCCACGCAGATTCAGAGAGAGCGTGGGGGTGCAGAACGGCATCGCTGGGGGGTTCCGCCGACGGGGCCAGACCATGTGGTCGAGGGGCCCGGTGGAGTCCAGAGGTCCACGATCACAAGGACCTGGGTTCAAGTCCCAGCTTGGCTCCTTCTGGCTGCGTGACTTTGGGCCACTGGCTTCAGGGCCTCGGTCCCTCCCTCCGGAGAGTGGGCACAACAATAGTTCCCATTTCTTAGAGTCAATAGCTCAGTAGATGCTCAGCCTCTGAAAGGCATGGCCTCGCTCCCAGTCTCTCTCCCACACCCTGGCCCTCTGGCTCGGCCCCTGTCATCCCCTGGGATATGCAGGCCCAGAGGGAAGTCAGGAGGTCCAGGGTGTATACTCTCTGGTCATATTGACAGGAAGTTTCCACTCTCTAGACTCAGTTTACCCAAATTCCTCCCTGCAGCCCACCAGGCCCTGCATGACCTGCCCCGTCCCTTCCCTGCCCTCCCTCCTCCCTCTCTCCCCCTCGCTCCCTCTGCTCCAGCCACACGGCCTCTTCAATGTTCCTCCAACACACCAGGCCCATCCTGCCCCAGGACCTTTGCATGGGCTGTTTTCTCCACCTGGAAATCTGCCCTGGACTGTCATCTTTCAGGTCTCCGTCCAAGTGTCCTCTCCTACGAGAGACCCTCCCCGACCACCACCAGCTAAAAAACAGCCCCCAAGAGATTCCCTGGCCCCTCTCAAACTCCTTTAAATTTCTTAGAGCACTTTGTTCGATCTGACGTTTTAGTGCATATTTGTTGGCTTGTTTAACATCCATCCCTGCCCCAGATCAGAGGGTGAGGGCCGAGCCCAGGTCACCGCGGGTCCCCAGCACCATGCACGGGGCTGGCACACGATACGCGTTCAGTAAATGTTTGCTGAACAACCTAATGACTCTCTCCCTCAAAGGGTTAGGAACGAGCTGTTCATAAACTCTGATGCTCTGAGCCTAGGGGGCGGAGTTACCTTAGGTTAGGGACCTAGGTGCCAGATGGTCCTGAGTTCGAATATGAGCTCTGCCTTCTGCCAGCCATGCGACCTTGGGCAGGTCATTTAATCTGGAGGAGAGGACATTGGCACTGGGGCTTTGAAGGATGCATAGGAGTTTGGGATAAGCACTTAGGAAGTGGGTAAGATAGATTCTCAGTCACATCTGTGGAATCATTGAGTGAATGAAGGAGAGAGAATCCTTCCTGGAAAACTTTCAGCTTGGGAATCGGGATTTCCCGGTTTGCTGCTCTGGACTGTCAGGGTGGGAGGGCCACAGGGAGGCCCAGAGAGGGGCACGGCCCAGGGCACGGTTGCCCAGTAGAGAGGGCCCAGGAAGAGTTTGGACGTCAGAGTTTACCCCCAGCCGCTGCTGTTCTCTTCGCCCAGGAAGTCGCAGTGGGCCGAGTTTCTGGGAAACGGGGGTTCTGGGAAAGGCCTGGCCTTGTGCCCCGTGCCCCACCTTGTGTCTCTGGTCACCATGGCAACAAAGTCCCCCAGCCCCCCACAGCCTGCAGTGTCCCTTTCTGCCCATCATCCAGAATGGGAAACTGAGGCCCAAAGAGGGGCAGTGATGGGTTCCTGGGTCTTACAGAAGGTGAAAGCAGAAGCCTGTGTCGCCCAGTCTTTTTCCCACACACCATCTGCCTGGCAGTGTGTCTTGGTCCTGGGGCTCAGAGCTGGGGGACAGCGACAGAGCTGGCCTCAGAGACCCCGTGCTTGTGTGGTCCAGGCTAGGTCTGAGGGAACCCTGAGCAGAGCAGGAAAGGTTGCCCAGAGGAAGGAACACTGGAGATGGGGCTTTGAGGGATGTGTAGGAGTTTGAGAGGGTTCTCAGCCTCTAGCTTGCCTTGGCCGTCTCTTTGCCTTGGGAGGAGCCTGGGGAAGAGGCACCTTGGTTGTCACAGGTCTTGTGGGACAGAGAGTGACAGGCTTGCCTCTCACCTGGCCTGACCTCATGGGCGGGACGAGGGAGGATGGGGCAACAGGTCCGTGACCCAGTTACATGCTGTTTGTCCTCTTTCCTCCGGCACCAGCTGGGGTCACGGGTGACGTGGGCCCCCGCCCCTGCCCGCCTCCCTGGCACCTTTTCCCCAGAGAGGGGGGAGGGCTCGGAGACGGGGAGGGGGGCTCGGGAGGGGAGGAGCTGGGAGGGGGTGGGCCTCCGGGAAGGGGTGGGGAGGGGCCCTGAGAGAAAGGGGTTCACGAGAGGAGTCTGGGAAGTCACGCCCCCGCTGGCTGGCACCCCAGCTGCCCCTTCCCAGCCACCCCTTATCACAGCCCCAGTAAGGGCCAGACCTTGGGTGGTGGCCACAACCCAACGTCGCCACCCTTGCCCTGGCCTCCTGCCACCCTGGCGCCCCCCCCAGGGGCCAGCGACCCGTCCCTCTATCGATTCCCCACCCCCCACTTCTCCGGCCAGACGGCCTGGGCCCTGGGCCCGGCTCTGCTGTGTGACCCTGGGCCAGTCGCTCCCCCTCTCTGGGGCTGGCTTGTCGAGTGGCACTCAGACACAGGAAAAGCAGGGTGGAGGGTGACAGCGACGGGGCCTGGGGTGGCCCCCTCCATCCCCCCTCGGCCTCGGCGGGCCAGCAGGGGGGCCTGGCAGCGGAAAAGGGCCCCAAGGTCCCATCCCTGCCCAGCTGTTCTGATGACTCACGCTTCGGGGGACACTGGAGTGGGGAGTGGGGCTGGCACAGCCGAGCCCGTCCCCCACCCTGGCCGGGGCGGAGGCTATTTTCAGAGCCTTGGTAATAGGTGACATCTGAGGTCGTCCCCCCCTGCACCCCATGGCCAGAGGTGGCCCAAGGGGAGCTGAGCACAGAGATGGGGGGTGCACCTGGCCTAGAGGGGGACCAGCCCGGCACATCCTTCTGGAAAGAAAACTAACAGCCCGAGCAGCTGTTTCCCTCTGCCCCGGAGAACAGGCTGTTCTGCGAAAGGGACTGATGGCCTTCGACGGGGGGGGGGGGGGGGTCCTGGGTTCCTATCCTGACACGGTCCCCAAGACCCTGTGGGACCCAGCCCAGGTCTACGCCCCTCTCTGAGCCTTAGTTTCCCCATCACGCAATGGGTAGCAAGGCCTTGGGGCTTTGCCTGCCCCCTGGAAGATTGTAAGCAACCGAAATAATTGTCACAATGACAGCAACGTCAATAATAACAACAACAACAACAACAACAATAATAATAACACTAATAACAACAACAACAATAATAACAGCATAGTGCAGCCTTGTGAGAGCTGGGTGGATAATGGGGTTCCTGTGCCAGGAAGAGGTGTCCCCCCAATTCGAGAAGCCCAGACAGCCCAGGCAACAGGGGAGAAGTGAGAGCGAAGGTTTTCTTCTCTCTGTGGTCCTGTCTCCTTGAGTCTCTCGCTCCCTGAGGCGGGGACACCAGGTCCCAGCTGTTCTGCAGCCTTAGTTTCTCTTGCTGAGAAATGGGGAGAATGAGACAGCCTTCCCACCCCCATCAAAGGGGACGGGCCCCCCATGGCCCACGGTGCTCTCCGAGGGGCCCGGCTGCTGTTCTCATGGGGAGGTCAGATGGGGGTGCGCCCCAGCCCCAGCCCTGCTCCTCGTGACTGGGTCCCCTCTTGGGGCCTCAGTTTCCCCATCTGGAAAACGGGTACCGTGGCCGCCAAACAACACCAGTGAGGCAAAGAGAGGGGGGCGTTGGAGTGACACCTCTGAGCAGGTCTCAGGGCCTCTCCAGGTCTTGGTTTGTCCATCTGTGGGTCTGGGGGGAACGGGCCCCCAGGGGTCCGCAGCTCTGACCCTCCGTGGCTGAGGTCTCCTTCCCCTAGTGCATTCTGATCTCTTGCCCCCTCGGGCTTCCCCGGCCCCTGCAATGGGTCTGTGCAGGAACCCCACACACCCTCATCACCCCCTGATATCCGGGGGGCCCTGGTCTTGGCCTGTGGACCTCGGCCAGTCCTTCCGAACATCTGGTCTAGGCGAACAACCCTCGACCTCCAGAGCTCACAGTCTAGTCCTGGGGGGTTGCAAACTACAGCCCGGGGGGGCCAGCGTCCGCCCTCTGTCTTTGTCAATAAAGTTTTATTGGAACACGTGGTGCCCCTCACTTAAATCTGACGGATGGCGGGTTTTGCAGTACAGGGCGGAGCTGGGTGGTTGCAGCAGAGACTCAAATATCCCCTATGTGGTTCTTGACGGTACTTTTAATGGGGTTTGTTAACCCCAACTCTGGTGGGCAGAGAATGGATCCATGAACCCAGACCTCAGTGTTCCCCATCTGTACAATGGGTCCCCATCCGCCTCCACGTGGGGTCTCTGCTTGCCCTGGGGTTCAAGACGGTCCTCCGTGAAATGCGCCTCCCACGTAGTCCAGGCCTCAGTTTCCCCCTCTGGGCAATGCGTTCCGGCCCGTCTCCCACGGGCTGCTGGGGGGGGGTCCCCGCTGGGCCGCGGCTTCGCAGGAGGTGGAGGGGTCTGCGCCTGGCGGGTCTGCCTGGGGGTCCCCGTGGGTCCGCGCGCCCTGACCTCTGGCCCTCCCGCCCGCAGGATGAGTTCCACCCGTTCATCGAGGCGCTGCTGCCCCACGTGCGCGCCTTCGCCTACACCTGGTTCAACCTGCAGGCGCGCAAGCGCAAGTACTTCAAGAAGCACGAGAAGCGGATGTCGAAGGACGAGGAGCGCGCGGTGAAGGACGAGCTGCTGGGCGAGAAGGCCGAGGTCAAGCAGAAGTGGGCGTCGCGGCTGCTGGCCAAGCTGCGGAAGGACATCCGGCCCGAGTGCCGCGAGGACTTCGTGCTGGCCATCACGGGCAAGAAGGCGCCCGGCTGCGTGCTCTCCAACCCCGACCAGAAGGGCAAGATGCGCCGCATCGACTGCCTGCGCCAGGCCGACAAGGTGTGGCGCCTGGACCTCGTCATGGTCATCCTCTTCAAGGGCATCCCGCTGGAGAGCACCGACGGCGAGCGCCTGGTCAAGGCGGCGCAGTGCGGCCACCCCGTGCTCTGCGTGCAGCCGCACCACATCGGCGTGGCCGTCAAGGAGCTGGACCTCTACCTGGCCTACTTCGTGCGCGAGCGAGGTGAGCGGGGGCCCGCGGCGGACGCGCGCGCACGCGCCATCCCCGGGGGCGGGGCCCAAGGGCACAGGCTCGCCCAAGGCCTGAGGGGCGAGGTGGGCGCACGTGCCATCCGCGGGGCGAGGCGGCCATCGCGAGGGCCCGGGGAGGAGGGGCGCCCTCCAGGTGTCCGAGGGGGCAGCAGGCCCACGCAGGTCGGAGTGGGCGAGGTCCAGGGCCGAGGCGGCCCACCCCGGGGAAGGGGATGGCCGGAGGCAGTGGGAGGGTCTGAGGGAGGAGTTGGGCCACACTCGCGTGGGAGGAGGCAGGCACCTGCGATGGGAAGGGCTGAGGGAAAGAGATGCCGCTCAAGGAGAGTCTGAGGGGGGAGGCAGGTGCGGCCTGCGGGCTGAAGGTAGAGGGAGGCCCTGACGGGGCGGCAGGCCCCTGAGGTCTCAGGAGATGAGAAGGTCTGAGGAGTAAGATGTGACCTTGTTGGGAACAGGGGGGACAGGAGAGACACAGGTGGGAGAGGGACAATCTCACTGTCCATCTGGGCCGGTGCTGGCATCGCTCTGGGAACACTGAGAGTTGATCGACTCTCAGACCTCCCGCAGAAGCCCATGGGCACATGTGTTGAGTGGGAACGGGGCGCTGTGTGGCTTTGGCTAGGTCACCACTCTCTCTGGTCCTCGGGCCCCTCCAGCTGGGTGTTGGCTGGCTCTGGGGTTGAATGCCCCGTGGTGAGACCAGCGGAGTTGGTGAGGATGGGGAAATCCGTGACAGCTTCCTGGAGGAGGCGGCTGGGCTGAGCTGAGCTCTGCAGGCGGCTGGGCAGTGAGGGACCTCCCGGGCGGTCAGCGGCCGGGGCAGAGACACAGAGACCAGATGTGTGGTCCAGCATCTGAAGGTCACCAGGGCTGGTGGCCCAGGACAGAGCCCGGCTGGGAGGGCGCTGGGTCCTGTTGCCTGCTGCTTCCTGGCTGTGTGTGTCACTTGGGCCTCGGTTGTCCCCATCTGTCACATGGAGGTCATCAGAGTCCCTAGTTCGGCTGCGCCACGGGGATGGGCCAAGGTCTGGCGGGTAGTGTGTTGAATGCTGGCCTGCCACGTGGCAGGTGTCCACGTGACTGTCTTCACGTGGACAGAATCAGATGCCCCGTGGAACCTAACGGGGACACCCCCGGGGCTGCCTCAGCGTGTCAGACGGGTGCACGCGGCTTGCAGACCCAGCCAGGTAGACCCCACGTGAACATTCGAGGTCGCACAGCCAGAAGCGGATGGAGGAGGCTGGGGGAGGGGCGGTGGGGGGGGGACGCCGGCGCCCCACTGCCCTCTGCCAACCGTGCGGCTCTTCTGTGCCTCAGTTTCCTCCTCTGTACAATGGGGGTGACGACCATGCCGACTCCTAGCGATGGCCTAGGGACTAGATGAGGTCCTGGGGCTCCCGTCCCCGGGTGTGGGGAGGGACAGCGGGCAGTGTCCCAGTCTTGACCTGGATTCCTTGACCTTGACCCCATCTGCCGGCTCCTCCGCCCCCCACCCCTTGGCAGCAAACCCATGGGGGGGCGCGGGGCCGCTTGGGCGCACACTGCGGCCGTCTGGGTGGGGTGGGGGCGGGGGCGGCCTTGGGGGCGCGCGGGCTCATCAGGATGCAGGCCGGGTCTCTCCGCCGCAGCCTCCTCCTCCGCGCCGGCGCCCCCTCCTCCTCCGCGCTGAGCTGATAAAATTTTGCAGCGCGGTTTCTGCCGGCGTCAGCACAATCTCGGGCCTCCCCTCCCCCAGCCCCCGCCCCCTCCCCCGCTCGGCAGGCGGCCGCTCCCCAGACACCTTCCCGTCCAGCCCCCGCTGCGCCTTCGCCGGCCAGTCTGGTCAGCCTCCCCGCATGGGGCCCGGGAAGGTCAAGGCTGCACCCTGGGCGCCCTCCAGCCGGCTCCATCGCCCCCGGGGGCAGCCTGCGCGGCCTCTGCAGGCGGGAGTGAGGGTCGGGCCTGGCTTCCAGCCCCAGCTCAGCTGCCTGCTGCTGGGTGACCCGGGGCAAGGGGCTTAACCTCTCTGTGCCTCGTTTCCTTGTCTATAAGATGGGAGGCTCAAAAAGTGCCGCCTTGCGGGATGTTGGGTGCTCATGGTAAGCACTCAAGAAACAACCCTCATGGGGTCACGAAGGCACAGGGCTGGGATCCGTGGCCTCGTATTGTTACTAATGTTATCTTCCTCATTGTGGTTACAATTTCCGCCTTCTAGGCCTTTGCCCATGACGTTCCCTCTGCCTGGAATGCTTTCTCATATGGAAAACTCCTGCGTGTGCTTCAAAACCCCAACTCCTAGCTCTGCTTCCTCTCGGCTAGGCGTTTTTTCGAGGGCTTAGCAATCCTTTTCCGTCGTCGCAGAGGGAATCGTTGTTGTACCCATTTTACAGATGAGGAAACAGGCCTAGAGGACGGGCTTGCCATGCCCGAGGTCACGCAGCCAAGAGAGGGCAGAGGGGGGATGGGGGTGTGGGCAGCTTCTGTCGCTGACACCCCTCAGCCCTCCACCCTCGATGGCAGAGGGGATGGAGGTAAGTCGTGGTGTCAGCGTGGGCATCCGGTCACCGTGGCTTGGCCACCTCCGGGCTGGGTCTGGGTTCTAGAAGGCCGGCCTCCTGGACCCCTCTGCCGAGCCCCAGCTCCCCGCCCGGCATCCCAGGACCCCGTTCTCGTTCTGGCCCAGAGTTGAGTCTGTTCCCGGCCAGGAGGGTGCCCGTCCACCTCCCTCCGGTATCTTGTGGTCCCCGGGCTGGAGGGTCCCCGCCCGGGTAATCAGGCCGGCTGGAGACCGAGGAATTGATGGGGAGGGTGCGGGCAGGCCTCGGTGGGGCGCCGGGGGGACACCCGCCGTATGGCTGAGAGGAGGGACCCCCTCCAGCGTCAGAAGGGAGGCAATTCGTGCATCAGAAGTGGGGCCTCGGAGCCGGCAGAGAGACAGCGAGAGACACACCCAGAGACACAGAGACACGTGCCCGCTGCTGCGCCCCCCGCCCTCTCCTTGGACGGGGCCCCCCCACAGCCTCCCCATCTCCCCGGGGTGTCAGGTGGACGCCGAGACCGCGCCTCAAAGGGGAATTCCAGGCCTCCCTCCTCGGGTTTATTTTGGGGGACGGAGGGGTGGGGACGAGCCCTGAGACTGTCCCCTTCACACTGGGGCTGCCAGGCCGGTCAGAGCCCAGGGCACCTCCTGGGACCACATTTGTCTGCCCGGGGGTGCCGCTGTGGCCACAGGGGCTGGATTCCGTGTGCACCTCAGGGGCAGCCTAGGGGCTGGCTGGGGGACTGTGATGAGGGGGTGACGCGAGCCTAGCCTTGGGACATTGGGGGCTGCCTGCTAAGCGTGTGCACTTTGAGGGGGGCTGTCTGCAACTGAGTGGGGGGTGGGTAAGCTGACGATAGGGATAGGAGAACAGAACATTGGAGGGGTGTGGAGGGGACTCGGGGGGCACTCCAGATGGAGCGGGACCCTCTGAGGAGGTGACTTTGGAGGTGAGGGCTGAGGGAGGTGAAGGAGTCCTGAGGAATTGACTGGGAGTGCTCCGGGCAGGGGCCACAGCCAGTGCAAAGGCCCTGGGGCTGGAATGGCCGGAGCCTGGGGAGCAGAGGTGGAGGCCGCAGGGAAGTTTGGGGGGGGCGTGGCTTCGGGGCGAGGGTGCTGGGGAGCCAGGAGGCCTGCCTGGCATTTGGGAAGGAGCCTGGAGGAACCAGGGCCCAGAGAGGGAAGCCGCCTGCCCGGCCCCGAAGCCCAGCCAGGCCTCCCCGCCCCCTCCGGCGGCCTGAGAAACCGGAGGCGCGGGCGGGCGCCGTGCCAGGGGCGGGGGAGGGGCTGCCAGGCCCGCCCGCTGGGGCAGCTGCCAGCCCGCCCCGAGCCGCCAGCCCAGATGGTGCCCATCTGCTGACGCGGGGGGCCGGCCTCCCGTTCCCGCCTTGCGCCGTGCCAACCGCCCGCATGGCGCTGCGGGCAGGGCCAGTCTGGGAAGCTCGCAGCTGCTGGAGGGGTGGGAGAAACGGGGGTGGCCCCCCATGCCGCCCAGTCAGGACTGGGGAGCAATAATAACGACGGAAATCATAGTAACAGCCGGGCTCTGAGCCCCGTCCCACATCTTAACTGGGTTAGTTCTCACGTTTCAGACAAGGTGACAGAGGCCCAGAGAGGCTCAGCCACTTGCCCAAGGACACACAGCTCCCACGAGGCAGAGCGGAGTTGGAACCCACAGGTCCTGAGTCCTTGAAACCCCGAAAGGAGAAAAACTAAGAAACGTTTTTGAGGTTATCACACGGAACCCCACCCTCCCAGTTGTATAGATGATTACAGAGCGAATAAACGAACGAAGGGCGGTGAACCGTGTTGAAGGGCCTGCCGAGCCCGGGCCTGGGGGCCGGGGTCTCCATAAGGTGGGCCCTGGGCCCAGGGGGCGGGAGGGAGGGCCTCGGCCTGGAGCAAGGGGGCCTGGGCGGGCCACAGCTCTGCCCCTGGCTTGCTGTGTGACGTAGGGCAGAGCCCTGCCCTCTCTGGTCTAGAGTTGGGGGAGTTGAGGGCGGGAAGGGAGGGCCTTGTGGCCACAGAGAGAAGCGAGCTGGACCCTGACCCTGCCTCCTCCCCCGTCGTTCGTCTTCCTCCAGCCGGGGAGACAAAGGCGGGCAGCGGGGCGCCCACTTTTGTACAATGGACACAGTTTGTGTCCGCGAGCTTGCTCCAGGCTGTGTGAGGGGTGCGCCCCTCTCTGAGCCTTAGTTTCCCCATCTGTACGTGGGGAGACTAAGAGCTGTGTCCACTGCATTGAGGACTCGAGTCAGCGATCCCCCGAAAGCATACAGGAGGCGCTCAATTAATGCTCACTCCCTTCCTGGACCCTCTCCCAGCCCCAGGAGGCGATGAGGGAGACCTCAGGCAATGCGGGGACCCCGGGCATCGTTCTGCGCCCCCCGCAAGCACACAGGGGCCCCTGTGACCCGGGACGGGCCCCAACCTTGAGCTGGGCCAGGCTGCCCCCT